TTTGGCCGTACTAGTACGGCTTACGACCCAGGGTTTTTGACGTAATAGTATGCCTAAATTCTAGCGCCCTCAAAACTAGTGGGAGAAAGCTGGTAGGCCTACATATGAAAGAATGGGTCTATATGGTCAATGTGCACAGTATAAAATATCCTGCAGCACACAGTGCATAATGAGAAAAAAAAAACTGACCATTTTTTGGGAATAAAACAGCAACTTTGCACTGTATTTTCATATGGTATTTGTTGTTGTATTCTAGTTTTCTTGGTCTCATTTTATAGAATGGAAGACATATTACAGAAATTGAGATGATTTTGACTGGTTTTACAATGAAAAGTACCTTGAAATTGAGCTCAAAGTAGCAGAAATGTTCGATTTTTACCAAAGTTCAAAAGTAAACAAATCACGCCAAGCGTCCAATACACGTCAACTGGCGAGTCTTTCGCAAGTGCCCCAATATTATTTATACCATTTTTTACACTAATGCAGTAGTCTGCATAACAGTAAATCTTCTATTTTTTGTGAGAATAAAAATTCAAAGTGGAAAGCAAAAGAATGTAAGAGGGGCCTTGAGACGTGACTAATGAACAGAGTAAATGTCATTTTAGTGCCAGGAATGTCTTTCTTGTTTATTCTGGACCCTATTCGGAAATTGGCATCTTTTGAAATTTGTGTGAAATTGGAAAAATTGCTAAATTCTGACCACTGTACTGGATAGTTGAAATTGAAAAAATGGGTGGTTTCTTGCACTCATTCGATAGAAAAATGGAGTTCTAGCGAAATATTCATGTTTTTTGTCGACTAGTACAGTGGAACTGGCCGAAAATGGGGCTCAAAGTGAGCAAAATCGCCGATGCGTAAACATTGCCAAGAACGCTAACTTCACGAGAGCATAACTCCCTAAGTTTTCCATCAAATTTCAAATGTTTGGTGTCATTATGATCGGGAAAAGATTATCTTTTCAAAAGAGATTTTTTTTTTTAAATTTGGCCGACCCTAAGAACGAGTCTCGGAGAGGGCCTGTCGACCCTCAAAGAGTTAAGGATTGGGGGTCTCGACCCTGAAAGGGTTAAGGGAGAGATGAGCCAAATCGTCCTTTTTATTTATTTTTTTTTTTGGTCCAATTTCAATGCAATTTTTACTATGAATTAAGCAGTATTTGAAACCTAAATACAGTAGGGCCCTGCTTTATGGCATTTCGCTTTATGACGTTCCGCTAATACAGTCATTTCAGATTATGACCAAAACTCTCTATACAGCTTCCCCCACCTGACTTTCTAATACGGTCACCGCACCCCACCCTGCTTGTTTACATTCTCCATGAGATCCATAAGCACCACGTCTCTCCATAACGTATGGAAACTCCAAAATTTCAAGTGTTTTTTAAAAGTTATTTCATATTTTATATATATATATTTTTTTTTCAACTAGTCGGCCGCCTCCCACCGAGGCAGGGTGACCTAAAAAAGAAAGAAAATCCCCAAAAAAGAAAATACTTTCATCATCATTCAACACTTTCACCACACTCACACATTATCACTGCTTTTGCAGAGGTGCTCAGAATACAACAGTTTAGAAGCATATACATGTATGCATAAAGATACACAACATATCCCTCCAAACTGCCAATATCCCAAACCCCTCCTTTAAAGTGCTGGCATTGTACTTCCCATTTCCAGGACTCAAGTCCGACTATATGAAAATAACCGGTTTCCCTGAATCCCTTCACTAAATATTACCCTGCTCACACTCCAACAGATCGTCAGGTCCCAAGTATCATTTGTCTCCATTCATTCCTATCTAACACGCTCATGCACGCTTGCTGAAAGTCCAAGCCCCTCGCCCACAAAACCTCCTTTACCCCCCTCTTTCCAACCCTTTTGAGGACAACCCCTACCCCTCCTTCCTTCCCCTATAGATTTATATGCTTTCCATGTCATTCTACTTTGATCCATTCTCTCTAAATGACCAAACCACCTCAACAACCCCTCTTCTGCCCTCTGACTAATACTTTTATTAACTCCACACCTTCTCCTAATTTCCACACTCCGAATTTTCTGCATAATATTTACATCACACATTGCCCTTAGACAGGACATCTCCACTGCCTCCAACCATCTCCTCGCTGCTGCATTTACAACCCAAGCTTCACATCCATACAAGAGTGTTGGTACTACTATACTTTCATACATTCCCTTCTTTGCCTCCATAGATAACGTTTTTTTGACTCCACATATAACTCAACGCACCACTCACCTTTTTTCCCTCATCAATTCTATGATTAACCTCATCCTTCATAAATCCATCCGCCGACACGTCAACTCCCAAGTATCTGAAAACATTCACTTCTTCCATACTCCTCCTCCCCAATTTGATATCCAATTTTTCTTTATCTAAATCATTTGATACCCTCATCACCTTACTCTTTTCTATGTTCACTTTCAACTTTCTACCTTTACACACATTCTCAAACTCATCCACTAACCTTTGCAATTTTTCTTTAGAATCTCCCATAAGCACAATATCTTCAGCAAAAAGTAACGGTGTCAATTCCCATTTTGAATTTGATTCCCCATAATTTAATCCCACCCCTCTCCCGAACACCCTAGCATTTACTTCTTTTACAACCCCATCTATAAACATATTAAACAACCATGGTGACATTACACATCCCTGTCTAAGGCCTACTTTTACCGGGAAGTAATCTCCCTCTCTTCTACACACCCTAACCTTATAATTATACCTGATAATTATAACTCTGATAATTATACTTATGTATACCTGTACTTAAATAAACTTACATACTGTGCTGGCATGCAGGTACACATTAAAATAAGTAAGAGTGTCTTACGTCTCGAGACGTCATATTAGTAATGATAATTATCACCAAGTCTCATTAAATGTCGTACATTACATTAGTATACATATTTTCATTAATCCATCTATGACATTTTTTCAAAATTATGTAATAAGCACAATGCATAACATATAAAGATAAAAATACACCCCACAGTAGAATAAATAAACATAAATATGAGATGTAGTAACCAGACTTTTACGAGTGACGGCAAGAATAATATTTTCTCTAGTCCAAAATCAGAGAAAATGTGTTGCTGGGGGTAACTGTAGAAAAATTATTCCTTTCGTATGTAAGTTTATTCAGGTATACACAAATACAGTTACATAGATTATCACACACAACAGCATATGTGTAGAGAACCTAAGATAACCCAGAAAAGTCAAACAGAGTGACTTTTTTCCATTGCCTTCACTCAGAGCGTCATTTCTTCTAAAAATGGTGTTACATGAGAATGGGAGTGTTTTCTTCATTTATTCTACTGTATCAATGTAGAGATAACTGGTACACAAACCAGACGTGTACACTGTTTGTTTACAAAACTTGCGTTCGCCTGGTTTGTTTACATAACTCTGCGCCTGTCTCTTATCACTCTATATATTTTCTCTTATTCTCTCTCTTTATATATATCTATCTTTCTTCTACATCTCTCATTATTATCTTATTCTCTTTACTCTCCTCTGACCCTACAATAAATTACAAATATTTAGTAGTAATGAGTACTGTTATATGCATTTTATGCTCTTTCTTCTTATATCATAGAATTTTTTGTGGGTGTTGTTGCCTGGCTTCCATACATCCCACTTGATTTCTCTTCATTAAAACTCTTCTCTCCCTAGATTAGACTTCAAATATTTAAGGTATTAACGAGTGCACTATGTGTGTATTTCTTTTTACTTTTTTTATGCCATATGTTCTTGCTAACTTTTATTTTTTAAACTAGTTATCTATTTTCTTGCTTTTAAGGAAAAAATTCTTCACTTTACGGTGGTAGCCTGGAACCTAACCTGCCATATAAGTGGGGCCCTACTATACTGTGTTTTTAGTGATTTTTTTCCTTACAGTTAGATAGAAAAAAATAAATAGTGCCCTATTCTATAGGGCTCAAATCTATCCTTCTACAAAATTGGTAAGATTTAGAATTTTCTAGTTTACATCAGATGAAATATAACGAGTTAGGTAATCTAATCACAAGGACATTTGAGCGAAATGTCAACAGATTGCATTAAACAAACTTAAGAACTCTTTTGAGAGAAAAAACTCAATAAAAACAAAACAGTAAAATGTACCACAAACCTTCTATGTAATTCAATAAAACCATCATTCCTCAATGTGTGAAAAAAAATCATTATGCTCCTATAAATACTCTTCGAATGATAGGGAAAACAATGCCAATAACTTATTCCTGAGTTATTCCTAATTATGTTTTATGTAAAACTCTATGGTTATGGCCAGCCTAATCTGAGCGTGTTGCACCCCTCCGTCCTTGACAGCCTGGTGGCTACTGAGGGACAATCTCACCACTCTCTTCTCTCTAGTCCTCACAGAAGTTGCCATGTAGAGTAATTAGAATGAAAATTATAATCATAATTTTTGGAGTAAAAAAAAATTAACTGCCAACATGTCCTCTTGCTGACAGCAAGAACAGAAAAAAAATACATTTGTGGAAAAACATACTTCGAAATAAGATAGAAACAAGCTGATTCCATCAACATGTCAGAATTATACACTATTTTTTTTTTTTGATAAAACATTGTTTTCCATAATTTTTCAATTTCAATTTTTTTATCACTAAGGAACTCTCTCCAGGTAAACTCCAGGTATAAAAAGGTTTGTCCCTTCCTTAATGTGTACCTGCATGCCAGCACAGTGAGTAAGTTTACTTCGGTACAGGTACACGTAAGTATATTTATCAGAGTATATAAAATATGAAAACTTAAAAGCACTTGAAATCTTGGAAACTTTCCAGATATAATAGACACACGTGCTCACGGAGAATGCAAACAAACCGGGTGGCACACCCATATTAGTGGAATGTCCCGAAGTAAAACACCATAAAGCAGGGCCCTAGTGTTTAAGAAAAACACTGAACACAACTATGTCTTATACTTCCATTGAAACATATATATATAATATAAAAACTTACTTGAAATAGGAGCCGCCCTCTGGAATAATGATGTGTGAAGCAGCAAATGCAACATTAAGGTCCAGAATACTGTGGTTGTCTATGGCAGACTGCAGCCCAGTCACACTTCTTTCCTTCACCACCTCTAACTGGCTCAATGCTGCTGCCTGCAATCTGATATGACAAACATTAGTTAAGAGCCTAACCTTGATTAACATGTATAATTGAAACTATTTTCTTTAACAAAACTTAGCAATCCTATTTTTATTACAAGCCTTCAGAAAAAATTTTACTTTGCATAAAACTATACCCAGAATAAAAAAAATAAACTAATTAATTACTTTTAACCCTTTGACTGTTTCGGTCTTACGCGCCAATGTCTAGGACGTATTTATACGCGTAAATTCTAGCAGCATCAAATCAAGTGGGAGAAAGCTGATAGGCCTACATAAGAGAGAATGGGTCTCTGTGGTGGGTGTGCGCCCTGCGAAAAAAAACGGACTCAGTGCTGCATTGCAGGAACGCCATCTTGGTAGTCCATTTTCATCATGCCTCGGGGTAAGAAGTACCTCACTCCTTGGCGTATTGGAGGTCTACTGTTCCCAAGTGATCGTTCTAACAGTGATGGAAGTGCCAGTGAAAGTGAATTCCTGTACCAGGATGAAAAAGGAAACTATTTCCCCATTTACAGGACTCAGATCTGAGCAGTGAAAGTGATAATGATAGTGATTTCAAAGTTAATAACAGCAGCTCGAGTAGCAACAACGAGGGGAAATATTCGCCAGTGAAACAGCAGTATGTTCGACGCAGCATGCGTTCTGGTAGTGTGCCTTATGCCCTTCCAAGGCAAAAGAGTAAATCTGGGAGTACATCCCATGGCCCTACATCACGACCTGATGGTGAAAATGATGATATTGTTGCAATGGGGATGTGTAATGTGGGTGGGGAAGATGGTGGTGGTGTTGGTGGTGGCATGAGTCATGTGGCACCAGCACCGGGTCACGCTACTACCGACGCTGCTGACTCTGCACTACAACAACCAGCCTCGCCCAACTCCACACTCCCACAACATCCCTAACCACAACCTGCACAACCACAACCACATTTCAATATCCAGAACCCACTAGCAGACTGCATCTGGGATTGGCAGCAAGATGACAATTTTATTCCCAATCCCCATGACTTTGATGAAACACAAAGTGGAATACGGCCATCGTGTACACTTGGGAACAATGCCACTGAACTAGAATGCTTTCAGTAGTTCTTCGATGAACCCCTGATGGACATTATTGTCAGGGAAACCAACACATACTATGAGTACACCATGGCAAATACAATTCTTTCACCAAGGTCACGACTACACGAGTGGAAGGACAAAACTGTGGACAGAAATGTACCTGTTACACTCTCTCAGATTCTAGGGACCCACAAACTGAAAAAACCAAGAATATTGTCCTAACTAAACCTAATGAAACACCACTACATCCCACTGACACAGCTAACAAGATAAACGACTTCTTCTCAACCATAGGATCTAATCTCACCAATAAAAACCCACATACTAATGCCCATGCCGGGGACTACCTAGATGGGAATTTCCCAAATTCCTTCTATCTTGCAACAACTGAGCCCTCGGAAGTCACCGAGATTATAAAGTCACTTAAAAACAACTCAGGGAATCTGTCTAGTGTCCCACCATTACTGTACAAGCGAGCGGCCCATATCCTTTCGCATGCTATTTCATTACTTTTTAACAAGTCACTAGAAACTAGCACCTTCCCGAAACTACTCAAGATGGCAAGGGTTACACCAATACATAAAGGTGGTGACCCTACAGACTTAAACAACTATAGGCCAATATCAAACTTACCATTGCTATCCAAAATTCTTTGAGAAAACTCGTGCACAGGAGACTATATTCATTTTTAACAGCACAAAACATACTCAACCCCTGCCAATTTGGATTTAGGAAAAATAAAAGCACAAATGATGCAATCATAAAAATGCTAGATCTGCTTTACACAGCACTGGAAAATAAGGAATATCCACTAGGAATTTTTATTGACCTAAGAAAAGCTTTTGACACAGTAGACCACGACATCCTACTCCACAAACTTGACCATTACGGTATAAGAGGCCATGTTCGCTTGCTTATTTCAAATCTTACCTTACTAATAGGTATCAGTATGTTACCATTAAGACACAGCATCAAACAACACGGCCACTTGATACTGGAGTTCCGCAGGGAAGTGTCCTTGGTCCCCTGCTCTTCCTCATATACATCAATGATCTTCCAAACGTATCCCAACACCTGAAACCCATTCTCTTTGCTGACGACACGACTTATGTCATCTCTCACCCTAATCTTGCACCCTCAACACCATTGTTAACGAGGAGCTGATCAAAATATCGACTTGGATGACAGCCAATAAACTTACGCTTAACACTGACAAAACCTACTATATTATGTTTGGTAGCAGAGCAGGAGATGCACAAATTAACATTAAGATCGACAAAACTAATTACCAGACATAATGAGGGCAAATTCCTAGCCTATACCTTGACAACAACCTGAATTTCAGCACCCATATCCAACACATAACCAAAAAAGTATCCAAAACAGTTGGGATCCTCTCCAAGATACGATACTACGTGCCGCAAAATGCCCTTCTCACACTATACCACTCACTTATTTATCCATACCTCACCTATGCTATTTGTGCTTGGGGATCAACTGCAGCAACACACCAAAAAGCCAATAATAACCCAACAAAAAGCTGCAGTAAGAATAATCACTAAATCCCATCCCTGGCAACACACCCCCCCACTCTTCATAGATTTAAACTTATTCCCTGTTCAGTACATCCACACTTACTACTGTGCAATCTACATCTACAGGACCTTAAACTCCAATATCAACCTTGACCTAAAACGCTTTCTTGATAGTTGTGACAGAACCCACAGGCATAACACCAGACACAAACATCTCTACGACATTCCCCATGTCCGAATAAACCTTTACAAAAATTCAATGTATGTCAAAGGCCCTAAAATCTGGAACACCCTACCTGAGAACTCTAGAACTGCAGACACATTCATCACCTTCAAAACTACCATTAGAAAACCATCTTATCTCCCTGATAAACCCCATCAACTAACTACACTACACGAATACCATTTGACCATAAACAGAAATATTAATCTCAATCTTAAAATAATGAATCCTATGATACTCCAATACTGAAACTATGTACTGTGCCAAAACAAAAGCATTCACATTGCTAAACTCACAAACTAGTATTTAGTCACTTAGCCATAATACCAACTTACCTCATAATTTGTAATATTTTAAAATAAAGAATTAAACTAAGTCTGCCCAAAATGCCCAGCCATGCTAGGTGTTCTAGTGGTACACACTGTAATCATTATTTAACTACATGTAAACCACACAACAACCAAATTCTGTAAATTCAACATTGTAATCTTTATAGTGAATAAACTTTGAATTTGAATTTGTTCTTTGCCAGAATAATGCTCATGCCACATGTGTTATAAGTACACTGTCATCACACACTGGTCAACAGAACGCCTCATTTCAACCCCAGGTTTTAGTGACATTATAGGAGTAAATCGTTTTTTGATACTGTTACGTATGTTACACTTTTCAGACAAAACAAGGCTTGACAGAAGCAACAGGTTACATAAGATCAGAAATGTGTTTATGTACCTGAAACAAAAGTGTTGTATGTATTTTTATCCCTTCAGGAAGCTTGTTATTGACGAGTCTTTGATTTTATTCTAAGGAAGACTCTCATTCAAGCAGTACATACCAACCAAGAGGAAATGCTTTGGTATAAAGTTATTTGTACTGTGTGATTGCAAAAGTGGTCTCGTTTTGGATATCATTGTGTACATTGGCAGTAATACATTGACCTATACTCAGTGATTTCTTGCGAGTGAACCTGACAGACTTGTGTGGCACAGTGCGTGGCAACCGTAAGCATATGCCAAGGTTTGATGCTGGCACTCGCAGAGGTGAGGTTCAGGCCTTTGCTGCGAATGACATCATGGCATTTCGGTGGCATGACAAACGTGATGTCACATTTTTGACATCAGTTCACTGAAACAAAATGGCACACACTGGCAGGCACAATAGAGAGACCAATGAACCAATTCTAAAACCTGCAGCTGTCATGGACTACATCATCAATATGTGCTTAGTGGACAAATGTGACATGCAGACTGGGTTTGCTGATTGTGTATGCAAGAGTTATAAGTGGTATATAAAACTTTTTTTTCCATCTTCTTGATATTTCCATGCTAAATGCTTATAACATAAACAAGTTGAGGACCAACTACAAACCAAAATATTGTGAATTTTGTTTGTCATCAGACAAATAATCGTCAAGTACCAAGGAGCAACACCTGGAATAGACCAGCGCCCACGAAATTACCAACACATGCCATCTCGTATGAGGCCTCGTGATCACTACCCCAAACAACTGCCTCCTACTGCTTTCAAGAAAAGTGCTCAGAAGAGGCGTTTTGTATGTGCACATACCACAAAATGCCCACAAACATGCAGAGACACTTGTTTTATGTGTGAGGAGTGTCAAGTGCCACTCTGCATATACCCATGTTTCAAAGAGATCCACAAGCTGCAGCAGTTCTAGGAAAGTGTTCAGTGACTGTACATATGTATATATATTATGGAACAATAGTAATAAACAATGTTTTGTATTGTTTGTATAAACAAGTTTTATAACAATCTAATAGTGATAATGTTTGTTCAGTTATTGTGTTGTAAACTGAGTGTATATTTGAACAATGCATCTTACATTGGTCTCATAGACCACATAAGTTACTTAGAAAAGAAAAATATTGGAAAATACAAGAATCTTTCGAATTGGAGTAAATAAAAGAATACTGGGTGGGCGGCATTCGCCACTTGTTGCCATACACCGCTCATTTTCTGCCACTTTGTGCCTCTATATCTCGGTAAGTACTGATGGCAAAAATTTTTTTAGGCTTAAAACACTCAGTAAAATAATCCTAACATTTTGCTAAGAAAAAATATTTTTTTTTTTCGAATATTTTGTGACATAGAATGACAGTTTCAGAAAAGGGCTTGTGACAGTCAAAGGGTTAAGAAACACTTAATTTTTTTTTTTAAT